TAAATAAATAAATAAATAAATAAACAAACAAACAAACAAACAAACAAACAAACAAACAAACAAACAAATGTCACCAGAAGGTAGGCAAAGAAGGTGCCCCCATCAACAATTAGTCCACAACTCCACTAAGGTGACACATTGTCTATGAAGAGTCCAATAGTCCATCCCTGGGAGTAGAGGAGCAGATGCTGGGAGGCCGGCCAGCCAGGGGTTTGAAGGCACAGCTGTACGTATTATCCTAGCTGGCCTTTTAAAGCCATTGCTCTTTAGGCCATATTCAAGTAGGAGTCGTCAGCCACTGTTCCAGTTGGCTTCTCCGTGTGGCACACAGATGAGGCCACAGCTTAACTCGGAGAACAAAATGTTTTGTTCTTGCCTCACTCAGCTAGAACACAAAATATGCCTATCTTGTTTCTGCCATCTTTCAGATCCCTTGCTCCACAGATACTGTGCATGTTGGACTAGCCATTTTGCAAACTACCGGGGATCAGAAACATTCCCCTCTGCTTTTACTTTCTTTGATGACCCTTAAGCTACTGTTTTTAGAAGTCTAAAGGTAAAGTCATCCTTTGGCTAAGACCCAGTGAGGACCCCACAGTAGAGCCTCCGTTACTGTAAGTAGCTGGAGGTGTGGACCACAAATGGACCATATTGCAGATAGGATATAAATGTCAATCTTGTCATCTTCCAGGCACTTGAAGTTTAGATAAGAACCCATAAATCAGAATTGTTTTTGTAAAACTCTATGTCCTGTAAGAGACAGTCCAGAAATTTGATGAAATGTTTTTGTCACTCTTGTCTTTGCCTTCAACTCAGACACGCTTTCTCAGTTGTTAATTTCAAATTAATTAATACAGATGAAACAGAAGCATTACTTGCTTGTTTTCTCAGTTTAAAGGGCCTTACTCCTTAATAAATGTCTCTACATTTGCAGTCTTAAATCCTTTTTTTTAAAATCCTCCTTTGTGGAAGATTTACAAATGGTAAATAAGCAAAAAGGCCGCCGCCAATGATTTCCTTAATTATTGGCCTGTGAGAAATAATCTGTCCTGGGTTTTGTCATCATCATTAGAAATGATACAGACCCACTCATGGTAAACCCTCAGTGGGAGGGAGGAAAACCGCCCCCACACCCATCACCTTTTCTCTTTTTATCTACTCTGGCTTGATGCAAAAAAAAAAAAATTGAGAAAGAAAATGAACAAGAGGCAACTCACTGGAAGTTAAATTATCTTGTGAACCAAATTGGTAATTAAAGTGTACCGAGATGGAGTAATTGATCCACGTTAAGCCACCCTATCAGTAAGTTGGGTAGCAGTGGTGTGAGATAAGAGGCAAGCGGTTTTTAGTTACGTGATCTCGTGGATGAAACGAGTAAACTAAAAGACGCTCCGGAAAGGAACTACTGTACCAGGTGTTAACGGATCTTCTGAATGTCTGCCTGCCTCCCTCCTCCCCTGTTTTACTGCAGAAGGCTGCGTCATTTAGCTCCATATTTTACACATTAAACTTGGCCTTGGTGCTGAGAAAAGAGACGGAGGGGGTGAGTGGGCTGGAAAAGAGCCTGGGGCTAAGGAGACAGGGTGTGGACAGAAGGATGCTGGCCAGAGGCCGAGGCAGCTCAGGGCTGGGATAGGAAAGGGGGCGTCTGTCTGGAGACCTTAAGCTGAAGGGTCCGGGAAGAAGGCACCCCGGCGCATCACTCTCGCTGTCTTTTTGTGACAAGTTTGGCACTGACAGCCGCGGCTGCCGCAGGCAACTGCCAGCGTGTTAGATCCTGGCAGCTGCTGGCAAGCCATTAATTGCTCTGAACTCGCTCCATTAAGAAGGCCAGCTGCCTGGCAGGCTGTGTGAGCCCAGTCCTTTGCTGCCCCACAGTAAAGTGGATCATATCCTACAGAGGGGCGAAAAGACTAACTAAGCCTGGCTTATCCTGTTTATGGAAACACACACACGCCTGCCCTCCCACTCCCCAATTCACTGAACCAGGTTGCTGTAAAAAAAAAAGAAAATCAAAAGCAGCTGCCTCTGGCCTGTCACAAAGCTGCTAATAAACAAAAATAAAGCCCCCTTGGGTTTGGCACCACTCACAGCCCCTCCTAGGCGACTCTGCACGCTTTGTATCTCCCACCACTATCAGATAGCTATATTCACAATTTCAGAAAGGGCTAGGGCAGCATTGCTAACCAGAATCTGTGAGAATATATTCTCCCCACAGCTTGATATTTCCTGTATCCTTCCATGATCTCCAAGGAAACGTAGGCCTGGCTTCCTTCCCCATCACTCACCTCTTCGCCCCACAGTCTCCCCTTCCCATATGTAGGTTCCTTGCTGTCATGATACTTCCTGGCCTTGAATGTGTAACCCCCCCTGTCACCCAGCTGAGCACCCCAAAGAGGTCCCACCAGCAACACAGATGTTTAATCCACTATATTCCGAGAGCTGTGTGAGTGCTAACGCCCTGTTTACAAATGCATCACCCCTTTTCCCCCCAGTACCTTAAATCTCTTCAGTCCTTCACAACTTGGCATGCTACACCCCTCAACCCTGTGGGATAAGGCATAACCACCACCATTCCTATCACTGAGGGAGGCAGTGCATTTTCTAATCTTTCAAAGAACCCTCTCTCTTTTTAACTTAAGGGATGTCTGCTTTGTGTCTAGCTTGTGTAAAACAAATTGTCTCTTCTTGCAGGAAAAACGAATCCAAATGTGTTCCTCTTTGTATCAAAGACCCCAGTATTCTGTGATCTCGCTCTCGCTCTTGCATTGCAGCACCCATTCATTCATATGTCTTTGGACCTCAGTTCTTTGACCTCCATATTGCAAGCTTCAGATAAACTCCCGAATGCCAAATCTTTAATCATATCCATATAACCTGCATCCATCAAGAGTCGGGCTCAGATTTTTTTTTTTTGCTTCACTTGCAATGACAGCCTGATACCCCCTCCTTTTATTAATAATCTGCTCCTTTTGCAACCCATGCTCCTCTTTAAAATGTTGTATTTGACACATCCTGAAAAGAAAAAGCAAAGAACACCCCCAGACCTCTTTTTACTACCATTTGTAGTTTTGAATATATCATTGCTTCCAAACCTGTCTTCCCCAAATGTACCCCAAATTCCCATCTGCCTATTCCTGATCAGGTGCTTCTGCATTCTGCTGCCCAACACAAACCCCAAACAGTACAACACCCCCCCTTTTTTTTGCACCGAAGTACATACAGTACACCTTCCAAATCTGTGCGCCACATTTCCCATCGCCTCATACCATTTTCCTCCGGTTCTAGCCCCGATCCCCATCTTTTACCTTTCCCTCCCTGCCACGACCACCTCGTTTCCAAAGCTATTTTAATTTCCTGGTGTCTCCACAGAACAGAGGAAGGGGGGAAAAACGTGCATTTGGAAATCCTGTGTGAACGCGATCGCTCCCTAGTATTCGTGACACATTCACCTGCCCTCTGCATCCAGGGGTTTGGAACCCCTTTCCTCTAGGACAAAACTACATTCACCTGCCCTCTGCATCCAGGCTGGTGATAACGTTTGGAACCCCTTTCCTCTAGGACAAAACACGGTCAAAATTGAAACATGCCAAATCCATTTCGCTACACCGCTTCCCCCCCACTCCTCCAGCCCCTCTCCCCGACCTCTCTTACCTTGTAGAAGAGGCACGGAGCAAAGCAGCAAAAGAGACAGCATGTTGGAGGCTGCGTTTTCCGAACAGCGCATTTTGGATTTCTTTAGACCTGCAGAATACCTAGTCTAGCTATTTCCTTCTCCTGCCAGGCAAGGGAGCCGTGGAGTCAGGAGCCCGGTTAGCAAATGAAAATGCAGTAGCTTCTCTTGCAATGGCTCTCCCTGTTAATATTTTCTGCTTTTCCTCTCGAAAGCAATCCAGGCTTTATATTTTGGAAATGCACTCTTACTTTGCTTCTACAATCTATTTTTTTTCCTCTCCACGTACAGTTATTCGTTGCAAACCTACAGTATGGGCATCTCACTCCCCCTTTCCCCCTCTTCCTCTAAAGAGCCACGTTACAGATCTCTTCTTTCCTATAAAAGCCTTTTAAGGAGAGCACTTTTTCATTTTCAATTCCAGGCCTCTTTAGCAAAGGGCTGCTCCCTTGTCTCTCCCTTATGGTTTTGAAGATTGCAGCAGCCACCTAAGCTCACTTGGACAGAGGAAATGCAGGAACAGAGAGAGAGATTTCTTTGCATATGAAAAGGCACTGGCTCCCTGGTTTCTTGGCAAGATGAATGGATTGGATAGTTCTGCCCTTCCACAATCCATATGCTACCTAGACCTGCTCAACAAACCTGTGAGCAAACCGCCTACATTTCCCTACCTGAAAGTCTCATATAGATTCCTGTTATTTCAGGGCATTGACATTTATGGCCAATAAGCAGCATGTAGCTACCCCTCCCTTCCCCGACTTCACTAATACAATTCAGATTGCTGTCAAAAAGCATTAAGAATAAAAAACACAAATGGATGCGCTAACTACTCTTTAAAGAAACACACTGGTAATGCCTCATGTACCTATCTGTATAGCAAAGCAAAATCTCACTCACTCTCTCTCTTCCCCCAACCCCCCACCCCGTCCTTGACAATGAAGCGTAAGGGATGGCAGCCTATGCGTTTGCAAAAGAAACGCAGCTGCTAGCTACAGATTATTCTGGATCCTACAGTAGCTGTTTTCAGAATGTAGACTACGGATTCCCCACCCCCTAGCCAGCAGATGCCTGTAGGTATATGATTTGCAGTGCAATGTATTAAATAAAATATATATAATTGGCTCTTAAAACAAAAGCATGCCTAATGCAGTGGGTGTTTTCATGCAGAACAGAGCAGGGATCTTATATAAAAATATATGTTTTAAAATATCTATAGATTAGTAAACATCTTTTTCTAAAGGTGACAGGGGATCATGCAAGCGCTTCTTCTCTCTGACATAAAATAAAATGCACTAGGGAAAATAAGCCAAAGCAAATCTATATTTTTCTGATTTACCTCTACAGGCTAGGATTTTTGGAAGAAAAGTTAGTCAATATACTGTATGTTGTTGCGCAGAGGTATGCTAAACATAGTGGATACATAATGATTTGCTTGCTTGTTTTGAGAGATGTAGAGGGTAAGGATTCAAGAAGAAGTCGGATCCTAGCTTTCTGTGAAAGCTAGGATCCCTTTCCATGATGATAATGGTAGTGATGCAAAAGAGGTCCGGGAAGAAAGCCTGAAAGGATTTTCATAGCTATTGGCAGAAATCCAGGAGTAAGTCTCAACTAGAGGAGGCCAGTGAACCAGTAAGGATCTGGTGAGTCAACTGCTCTTTAAGTTCTATTGATTCTATGATCCTACTTTGGTTTCAACTTTCTTCTGGGTTCCATCCATCATCCCATATTCAGGAAAAGTCTCTGAAATTAACACTCTGTTTGACTCCATTTGATTCATTCATTTCTTTGTATTTTAGGCTTGCTGTGATATCGTCCCCAGTATAGGTGTTTGAAAACTATAGATCCTTGCAAAAGTAGTCTGACATTGCCCCATATTTCTATGTTGCTTATCAGTTTTGATGGAAAGAGGCCACTGTATTATATAACATACTCTATATCATAAATCTAGTCAGTTTCAAATAAAGAAGACCAATAGAATCAATGGGAATTTAGTCAGTCAACTTTTAGGTAAATTCCATTGATTCCTGGATCTGTTCTAGTTGAGACTAATAATTGCATCTGAGTCTTTATTTTAATTTTCTAATTTTCCAGGTTCCTAATTTACTTAGGGTAGAGGTAAGAATTATACCCCCTTCATGGATTGCTGCCTTATTGTGGTGAAGTGGTGAAGGGGCTTGAGTAATTCAGAGAAGCTATGGGCTACGCCATGCAGGGACACCCAAGACAAACAAGTCATAGTGGAGAGTTCGGACTAAACGCGATCCACCTAGAGCAGGAACTGGCAAGCGACTCCAGTATCTTTGCCAAGAAAATTCCCTGGACAGAAACAAAAGGATAAAAGATATGATGCTGGAAGGTGAGCCCCTCAGGTCAGAAGGCATCCAACTGGGGAAGAGCGGAGGACAAGGACAAGCAGC